TCCCTTTATCTGCCCCTCCTCCACTTGCACTCTCTCTCTCAAAATAAATACATAAACCTATAAAGAAGGAGAAGAAGAAGGAGGAGGAGGCAGCGAAGAAGAAGAAGAAGAAGAAGAAGAAGAAGAAGAAGAAGAAGAAGAAGAAAGAAGAAGAGGAGGAGGAGGAAGGAGAAGAAGAAAAGAAAGAAAGATAGATCCCATTTACAATAGCAGCCAAAAAAAAACTTAGGAATAAATTGAACAAGAAATATGCAAGAGCAAATGAAAAATACTTTAAAGCATTAATGAGGGATTTCAAAGATGCCTTGAACAAATGGAAAGACCCAATAGCATGCTCTCTTGTATAGGAAGATTCTACATCATGAATCTTATGTCAGATATTTCTGATATAATCCTGAATATAATTTTTTAAATATCAATAGATTTATTTTTAATTACATGTTAATTCTACAGTTCATAAACAAAAACAAATAAAGACCAGGAAAATTGAACACAAGCAGAGAGGTAATACTAGCCCTATAAAACACATTACAAAGCCTTGATAATTGAAACAGTGTAGTGTTGGCCTAAAGAGAATGAATAAATAGAACATAACAGATTGTACATAAATAGAGTCAAATACATCCAGGAATTTAATATGTGGTCAAACCACTAAGGGAAAATTCAATAAATGGTGATGAGATAGCTTATTTCAGACCATATGCCAGGTTAAAGACCAAATGGATGAAAGATTTTAAATGTAAATAACAAAACCATATATATAAAACAAAACATAGAAACAAAACAAAGAAAAACAAAACAAAACAAAACAAAACAAAGAAAACATAGAACAATCTTTTATAATCTGAGGATGAGCTGGTATAGTTAACACTACAAATCCAGGAACCATAATAATTTTGCATGATATAGAAAAACTATAGCAAACTTTTAAAAAAATTCAAAGATAAATGACAAAATGGGTGAAATATTTGCAATTTATCACAGAGTTGGTTGTCAAATGTATAACCATCTAAAAATTGGTAAGAAAAAGACAATAACCAAATAAAAAATTGTGGAAAGAATATGAAAAGATGTATGAACCCCAAAATACAAAGGCTCTTAAGCAAAAGAAATGGTCCTCAAACTCACTCATAATAAAAATGCAAATTAAAATTACACTGATACCATTTTTAACTCATCAGATTTGGCAAAAATTCAAAAATTTAATTAATAAGCTTGGTTACAAATCAGCAGGCACTCTTAGACACTGCTAGTGGTAATGCAAATTGCGACAACTTCCATGGAAGGTGATTTGGCAACATTTATCAAAATTACAAATGGCTAATACCCTTTGACCATCAATTCTGTTGGAAATTTATCCTATAATATTTGTGCATAGGTACAACATGACATGCATACAAAGCTATTTATTGCAGCATGGTTTGTAACAGCTGGAAAACATTGGAAACTGCCCTCATGCCCATCGATAGGGAACTGGTTGAATAAATTATGGTATTTCACCTTGTATGAAACTATATTTTAAAAAATAAATAAACTCTGTGTTATTATAAAAATTTCTCCAAGATCTTTGTGCAGAACAGTAAATATGCTATTCCTTTTGTGGAAAAGGGGGGGAGTGGATAAAAATACTTATTCATATTTGCTTATGTGGAGAAATTGTGGAAGGAGAAATGTCCCTCTGGAGGGACATATGGGAGACTAATGAAATAATGGCCAAGGAACTGGGTGGATAGGTGTTAGGAATGGGGGAAGATGTTTTGCTGTATACTTTTAAAGTAAATTTTTATTTTTTTAATTATGAATATATTGTCATCTGAAAATGTTAGATTTGAAATGCTATTTCTTAACATTAATGGACACAGGATGCATAATGAGTGCTGTATTATCTGCTATAGTGTCATACATTCAAACATTTCAACACAATCATCCTTAGGATCAAACAGAAAGAGATAGAAAGAGTGCACGCACATGAGGGAGTAAGGACAAGCTGTCAGCACGGCACAGAGTCTGAGGCAGGGCTCAAATTCACCAACCATGAGATCATGGCCTGAGCCAAAATCATGACCTGAGTCAAGAGTAAGACACCTGACTGAGCTACCCAGGTGTCCCATTAGTTCTTAGGGTTATTATAAATGATTAAATTAAGTATATCAGATTCTCCAGACTAACTTGAAGCAGAAAGTCAAAATATTCCAGCATCTTCTTGTCCATATGGAACTATTCTCAAAATTCTCCCTCTCTGGGTTCTTCATTTCTTTCCCTTAGATTATTGCTCCCATGTTTGCCCCTTTACAGCACAATGTTTAAGAACATAGGCTTTAGAGATCATTTGACCCTGCATGGTTTATTGTCTGCATGACTTCTGACCAAATGCTTTTGTTCCCACATGTGTAAAACGGAGGTAACACAAATTTTATAGAATTGCTATGAGGATGAGTGAGTTCATGTACATAAAGCTCTCAGCCAATGTTTGGCATACAGTAAGAGTTCTAGAAATATTAAGTACCTCTACTATTACTACGCTGACTACTAAAACTTTCTGGTGGCCTGAATTTTCACTGAGTTCTGAATTCTGCCAGGTATTGATAGATCTGGTTACTGATCTGGCACAAGAGTTTCAGAGTGGAATATCACCTTCAGTCAGTTCAAATAACAGTTATATGGTTACTATTTAGACACTCAATCATAAATTTTTGCTAATTTCTTACCTTCAACCTAAAAGTCCTCTGATTAAATGCATTGAGTTTCTAGCTAGTAATCTTTTCACACTTTAATGCAAAAATAATGTCCATTGTACATCAAAAAGTCATCATTTTTAACATGCTCATACCAAAAATCCAATTAAATTTTTTTATTATGAATTCCATTTACCTCAGTACTACAATCAGAAATATCCCATAGTACCTCTAAGTCATAATGTCTCTCAGTCATTGTAATCAAGATATTTTAAGGAAAATTTTAATTATTTTTATGTAATTACCATTTCAATTGTAAGAAACAATGTCAATTTTAATTATTTCAATATCAATAATGCACATTGACGATAAAATTAATTAATATTATCTACATACAGGGCACCTGAGTGGCTCCATTGGCTAAGCATAAGACTCTTGATTTTGGCTCAGGTCATGATCCCACAGTTTGTGAGATCAAGCCCTCTGTAGGGCTCTGCACTGACAGCACAGAGCCTGTTTGGGACTCTCTCTCTCCCTCTCTCTCTCAAAATCAATAAACAAACTTAAAAAAAATTACCAACGTACAATGTGTAAACTACTCTCATAAACATGTAAAAATCTTTGGAAAAGGAAACATACCAGTCAAGTTTAATTCTCAAAGGTTAGAGAGGATTACAGAGCTGAAACTGGCTCTCAGAAAACAATGTGGGCCACAATGAGCCCATAGCAGAATGCTGCCAAATTTCTTGTTATTAATAAACTTCTCTCTAACTTCCCTCAGAGAATATACAACCAGAGATTAGCAATGGAAATATCAGAGACACTGAAAATTATGCTTAATCTTTGGGCTATAAACCAGAAATTTTTAATTAAAAAATGAGAGCCTTCATTTTATTGATGGAATGATATAACTCAAAAAAAAAAATAAGACTACTTTTGTTATTAAATAAAAGTTTAGTGTGACATTATGGAGCAACACTGATTTATATATCTCTTGAGGATATAGGAAAAAAAGTCACCCTTGGGGGAGATTATAGTCCACGAAACAAATTGAGGCATGTAAGATAATAATTACGATACAAATATTAAGTGATAAGGGCTGTGTTAGGGGAGTTCAGAGAGAGATGACCACAGAAACTATTTTGCATTTTAATTAGTCCTTGTAGAAAGATAAAAGTTCAATAGCCAAAAATGGTAGAAGAGTTCATTTCATATAAAGAGAATAATATAGCAGAGCATGTTTGTAGAACTGAACATACAGACTACAGTATGGAATAAAGACAGTGGGAAATAAAAAAACAGAAATATTCAATACAATAGGAAGCAAAAATATAAGTCTGAGAAATTCAGATTTTTTTTTCACAGGCACTGGCAATCTATGAAGAGTACTTTGATTAAAAGAGTAATTTTATAGGGGCACGTGGGTGGCTCAGTTGGTTGAGCATGCAACTTTGGCTCAGGTCATGATCTCTAGTTCATGAGTTCCAGCACTGCATTGGCCTGCTGCTGTTAACACAGGAGTGCCTTCGGATCCTCTGTCCCCTCTCTCTTTGCCCCCTCCCCCACTCTCTGTCTCTCAAAAATAAATAAGCAACAACAAAAAACAGTAATTTTATAGAAGTTGCCATAGGAAAATTACACTGGTGATTGTGTCCAAATAGATTTGAGTTCTAGGAGAGGAGAAGAGAATGTTCTAGTAGTTCAGACAAGATATTCGTATAAGTCTGAACTAGGAGCTATGGAACTAGACAGAAAGAAATGAATGCAAATATGTGGAGAAGACTTATTAATTGCAAACATTTATTGAGAGATTACATTGTGAAAACTTTTGAATTTCTCAGCTAATCATCTCAACTATTCTGAAGTAGGTAACTATTATCTCCACTTTAAGGAAGTTAATTAACTTAGTTATTATAACACAGTCTTAAGTATAGTCCTGGGACCTGAACCCCAGGCTTACTGACTTTTAAAGTCAACACTTTCATACTCTCTAATACTTACCCTTATTGTACTGAACATTGAGAAATTTGGAGCCAAAAATGGCACTAAGTTTTCAAATTTAAATAATTGGGAAAATAATCAAAACAAACACAAAATCAATCAAAAATACAAAATATAAGGAGAAAGAGAGGGTTCGGGATGATTAGACAAAAATCCCATCTTCAACCAACTCAGTTTCCGAAAGAGTATTATGTTTTCTACATGATCTGAAAAATGTTTCTTTTGCACATTATTCATTGGTCCTATTTTACTCTTTAAATGTCTAATTTATCCTGTGATGAACTGCTTCCAATTTAACCCACTGAAATTCTATTGCTTTATCAGGTGAGAAGTTTCCTGACAAGACACCTAAGGTGCAGTTAGCGATATCACATGAGGATGCGAAGCTGACCATACTAGTGAAACACATGAAAAACATTGTAAGTTTATTATTTCTAATGAGAAACATGTAAACCTACATTTAAAAATCACTTGCCTCCCTCAGGCAATTAATGTCAACATTAGTAAGAGGAATGGGGCCAGCCACCAAGTTTAAGTGAGGAACAGTAGGCCAATTACAATGTTCTGCCTCTGTATGATTGCAATCCCTAGGGTAAAGACTATAAAATATTTCACAGGCCAAGTCCTAGAATGAAAATTAGACTTTACTCACAATGAAGTGTTAGGTCAAATCTCGCAAAAAAGGTTTGAAAATGCAGGAATAGCTAGAGCATTAAGGTCCAAAGGGAAAAAAGCTAGGTCCCAAGAATTTACATCTATCTCATCTTGCTGAGCTTAGTGGAAGATTAACTCATCTCTTTGAATAATGCCAACACTTTCTCTGTGAAGCCAGCAACTCTAAGGCTTTCTCCCCAGATGCCCATTGAGTACATTGAGTTTATACCCCCCAAACAGTTATTATGTTCTGATGTAATTACTCAGAGATATATCTTTCCCCTCAAAACATAATATTATTTTGAGGACAGGAAACCCATCTTTATATACCAGAACATAGGACAGCAATGGTAGTTAGCTCTAAAAACAACTGCAAGCTATTCCATTATACCCTATTCCTCTCTGAAGATGGGTCAAGTCAGAGGTATGAATAGCAATTGGACCATTGACATTGAGTAAGGGAGAGAGCATTCTGTGTCACAGTGTAATTGATTCATGGTCTGAGTCTGGGTGCAGTAACCAGAAGGAGGTAACTCTAAGCCTTGCCACTTCTCCAGTCTTCCTCTAGTCTACTCAAAGCAGGTCCTTCATATGGTAAAACTCCCTAGGAGACTATAGAGAAAGTCAGTAGCCCTATTTTGGCTCTATCCCTTATGCATATAAATCAGGATGTGCTTGGAAAGACTTAAAAGAGCAAACTCTTCATTGTGATGTGATCTGGAACATACTAGAATTTAACAAATGTCTGTTCAGTGAACAAATAGTTGGCATAATTTGCAGGGGATACATCCTTTACAAACTTAGAATTAGCCAGCTATCCAAGGATGCTTGTTTGTAAGTCTGTGGTTTTGTAATCAGCAATTTTTGTAATAGCTGGGCAAATATTCTTAGATGTGTTTCTGTAGAACTTTAGTCATTAAAATAATTATTTTCAATTGCTTTTGATCAGATAATCATCTTAAATGAGAATAGGAGTTGTTTAAGAAATTCTTAGTCTGGGAAATGAAGATTCAATTAGGCACTGTTTATGGCTATATGCATGTTCATAGACTTTAAGCATCTATATAAACATATGTGATAAAGTAAGAGAATGTTAAGAAATGGTGTTAATCAAGTTAACAGCACTTACATATGTATACGCTATATGACTGTTAACTGAAAATAGTCCTCCTTGAAATTATATATTTATTCCAATAATGTCATTGCTCAAAACGTTTTAGAACACGCCTATTGACATTGCTTTTAGATCTGGCCTATAAACCACACAGTAAACTTGGTGATATTACTCAATAGTCATGCCTAATATTTGATCAAAAGCAGTATTAACCAATTTGGTCACCCATTTTATTCACCGGATAAATATCCAAATTACTTTTGACAGTTTTCAAAAATGCATTTTATAGTGAGATGAAGTTACACTAACAATAAGAATATTCAAAACGAATGTGATGCAGGCATGAAGGGAGGGGAGAAAGTGAGCAAGAGCTAGAATTAAAGATTTAGGTCAAATGATAGGCACATGGCAAATGACCAGGTGCATCTTATAAGGAGTAAAAAGCCATCTAGGGCCCCTAGAGCATGTGCCAATGTCCTCAGAAAGAAAGTTATTAATAATGAAATAATACTTCTTGCAATCTGACTCCTCAGTCTACCTGCTGGTTCATCTCTTCTCCCCGATCCCTTAGCATTGCCCTGAAATTCATTCCTACACCTCTTCTCTTTTCTACTCCAGCCCTGTGATGTTAAATATCATTTACATGTCTTTCTCTTCCATATTTATAACTCATCTTGGAACTGTCCCTGAAATCCAGAGGCTTATGTATAACTAACTGCTCAACAACTCTAGTAGAAATTGAATAGGCATTGCAAACTTAAGATACACCAAATCGAACTTCTGATTATTGCTCCTTTTGCAAACTTTCCCATAACAGGAAATAGAAACTTTATCCTACTATTTACTCAAAGTCCCTGGTGTCATTTTGACATTTCTCACAAACTACAACCAATTTATCTGCAAATTCTGTCAGCTCTGCTTTCCAAACAAATCCAGAATTGCACTCCTTTGCCCTTCACTGCTACCATAAATGGTTCAAGCCACCATCATCTCCCACCTAAATCACTGCTGTAGTCTCTCTTTTTAACTTTTTTAACGTTTATTTATTTTTGAGAGCAAGAGACAGAGTTCAAATGGGGGAGGGGCAGAGAGAGAGAGGGAGACCCAGAATCTGCAACAGTCTCCAGGCTCTGAGCTGTCGGCACAGAGCCTGATGCAGGGCTCGAACTTGGGAATGGTGAGATCATGACCTAGGCTGAAGTAGGACACTTAACCAACTAAGCCACCCAGGTGCCCCACTGCTGTAGTCTCTTAATGGGTCTCCCTGCTTCTACTTGTATTTCTTCCTAATCTTTTCCTAACCTAGGAGCCAGAATATTCCTTTCGTAATAAAAGTCAGATCTTGTCATTCTTCTCTCATATCCTTCTGAGGGTAAAGGTCTCACTCATATCACTTATAATGAAAGGCATAGTACTTATTAATGATCTATGAAGCCCTACTACTGATCTGGCCTCCTTGATCTCTCCAACCTCATCTCGACAGACTCCCTCAATCACTCCACTCCAGCCTCAGTGTCTTCCTTCCTGTTCCTTAAATATGATAAGCATGTTTCTGCCCCAGGACATTTGTACCTGTTATTCATGTCATCTGGAATGTTTTTTCCCAGGTTCATGGCTCAGTCTCACATATCCTGGAGGACTAAGTCTTACTGCCACCTTTTCAGTGAGGTCCTCTCTGACTCCCCTATGTAAAGCTGCAAAACCACTACCTGTTGCCACTTCCAAACTTCCTTTTCTAACTTTTTGTCTCCATGGCCCTATATCACTGCTATTACTCCAAGGGCTAAAACAGTGTCAAGTACATAGTAGATGCTCAATGAATACTTTGTTAAATAAAAGAATGTCAAATTATTTCTGATATAAACAACTAAGAATTACGATCTTGTTCACCTACCAAAAACCATCAAAACAAAGTTCTCATGCCTTGCATTTTTCAGAGCTACTTTTAAATGACTCTTTTATTTCTTCTGCTTATCTGAGGACAGAGATAACACTATAATATAAATGACAGGAAAATCTATCTATAAATTCTCAACATATTTTCTTTGCTTATTTCAAGTTTTAACTAATTGTTATTTAGTTTCTGAGCCTTTAGTATTTTCACATGCCAAAGTAATCAGACTGAAGAAGCCGTGCTTCATTTTATTTTAATGTTAAAATGAATTATTCTGCCTGCAGCTCTGTTATATTTAATATTAAGTTTGATGAAAAGAATTGTTTATCTTATATTAAATCTTTGAAGCTTTTCTCTAAGAATTACGTCCCTCCTGTGAATTCACAAGCTAAAACAAAATTTGCTAAATTTTTTCCCTTTTAAAGCAGCCCAATGTGATTTATTCTAGTGAACAGAGACTGACAAAGTAATGCAGTTATTTGGAAGGTTGGCAAAGACTTTTAAAAATAATGTTTCAGTTTATATAACAGAGACATATATAAAAATCATTTGAATTTAAAACATTTTTAAAAATCTTTCTAGCATTTTCCCAAGTAGCCCACTATAAAATGCTCTTTTCCACTGATATCTTCATGTCTCTCTATACATGTCTCTCTATGAATTGCAATGTCTGCAGTGTCTCTCCTGGTCTCATGAATTCCCCTAGTCTGCGTCATTTCCAGACTGTTTTCATTTACTTGCTCCAGAATATGTGCATTCTAGTAGGCTCTAAAAGTAATCAATAAAGATTCCAGACTCTCTTCTGATATTGAATGTGCTCACACTCTCAGAGACTCTTACACTATAGCAAAATGATATGATTTCAAATGAGGTGCAAGTAATATCAGGGAAAGCAGGACACATCTCAGATGGAATGCTGTTTAATCCTTTAATAAGATACAAAATAGGTCAGAATAGTTGTGATATGAAAACAGGAGGAAAGATGAAAAATAATGAGTGTTGATGACAATGTGGAGAAAAGGGAACCCTTGTGTGTTGTTGTTGCTGGGAATGTAAATCAGTGCAGCTCCTGTGGAAAACAGTGTGGAGGTTCCTCCAAAAACTAAAAACAGAAATACCATATTTTCCAGTAATTTCACTACTGGATATTTACCAAAAGAAGGTGAAAACCCTAACTGGAAAAGATATATGCACCCCTATATTTGTGACATTATTTATAGTAGCCAAGATATGGACACTACTCATGTGTCCCTTGACAGATGAGTGGATAAAGAAGATGTGGTATATCTCTGTCTCTATCTCTATCTCAGTCTCTATCTTGATCTCTATCTCTGTCTCTATCTCTGTCTCTATAATGGAATATTATTCAGCCATTTAAAAAGGATGAGATCTTGCCATTTGTGACAACATGGATAGACCTAGAGGGTATAATGCTGAGTGAAATAAGTCCGCCAGAGAAAGACAAATAGTATATGATTTTACTTATATGTGGAATCTAAAAACAAAACAGAAAGAGACCCATAAATATAGAGAACAAACTATATTGTTGCCGGAAGGGAGGAGAGTAGGAGGATGGGCAAAGTGAGTGAAGGGAAGTGGGAGATACACGCTCCCAATTACAGAATGAATAAGTTCTGAGAATAAAAGGTATAGCATAGAGAATATAGCCAATGGTATTGTAATTGTAATAGCATTGTATGGTGACAGATGGTAGTCACACTTGTGGTGAGCATAGTGTAACATATAGACTTGTTGAA